GGGGGAAAACCTTAAAGAGAGTCATCAAATCGCAAGAGTTGGAAGGGACCTTGGAGGTCTTCTAGTCGAACCCCCCCTGCTCTAACAGGAAGACTCGACCTACAGCATTTCAGACAAATCGCTGATCCGGTCTCTTTTTAAAAGCCTGCGGTTTGCTGGATCCGCTGCCTCCTGGGGGAGGAGGAGGAGGAAGGGGAGGAGGAGGGGGGAGCAGGAGGAAGAGAAGAGGACGAGGGGGAGAGGAGGGGAGGAGGAGGAGGAGGGGAGGAGGAAGAAAGAAGAAGGAGAGGTGGGGAGGAGGAAGAGAGGAGGAGGAGGAAGCGGAAGAGTGGAGGAAAAGGAGGTGGAAGAGAAGAGGAGGAGGGGGAGAGGAGGGGAGGAGGAGGAGGAAGAGAGGAGGAGGAGGGGGAGAGGAGGGGAGGAGGAGGAAGAGGCTCATCAGCCGTTCCAGTCTCAACCCAGTTGAGCCCTGTCTGCGTGGTGTGGGTTGAAATATGAAGAGGCATCCTGGATTTGGGGCACAATTCGATGTACTATGAATCCGAAGTGGCTTGCCAGCCCATAAGGAGAATATTCAGTTTTCCAGGGTGGTGGGATTTCCTTGTGGTCTCCCATCCAAATATAAACCAGGTCCTACCCTGATTTTCCTCCTTCTTTATCTGCTACTCCTTAAACTGGACTTTCTCCTCAGAGGTTCAGGTTGTCCCCCCAGGCTGAAGAGAGGTCTCCCCTCCCTCACCTGAGACCCCCTGCAAGTCCCAAAGAGCTTTTCTGCTAAGCTTCGCAGGTAGGAATCTGCCTGGTAGAGAGAGCCCAGGCATAGCTGGGGAGTACAATGCTTCTGTGCTATAATTCTCGTCTCCATGCAAGAGGTATTTTATTTACTTCCTTGGACAAAGCCTCCTGAGATCTGGGAGGAAGGGAAAAATAATAATAAGACTATCTTTTGAATTTGGAAGGTCTTTTCAAGGTTGGAATCCAAGTAATTTATCTCTAAGATGCCTTCCACTTCCATTGCCAGTCAGATCTTCCAAAGGAGACCTTTAATGGCCAATCTCCAGCAACATCCCGAACAGCCGTATCCTTTGGCAACTTGAACATGGGTGGACTTCAACTCCCAGAATTCCCTAGTCAGCATGTTCCTGACGGCAGGAGTCAAAGGTGAAGGATGCCTGCTGGCTGGGGAATTCTGGGAGTTGATGTCCACCCCTTTTTCAAATTGCCAACCTTGAGAAACGCCGCTCCAGAAGGTCAGAAAACTCTAAACAGTTGCTAGTCCCTTGGTGCTCCTCACTTCTCCATGCTACTTGATAGGCTTAATCACGGCCTGCGGTGGATATAACCAGGGACTGCCAAATAAACCACCATGAAAGAAGTTGATGCCACTCACCCAACCACAAACAATGGCTTGCTAATCCCCATGGCTAGCTTGCATACCTCATTACACGCGATGACGGTTTTACTACCGTGGTTTTCAACCTGTTCTTCACCACAGAGCCGCTTTGAATATCTTTTGTGGCCACGGACCATGGCCACGGACTACTAAGACATCCCTCAAGATTTAGATCATAACGTTTCTTCAAGCCGTCACAGATCTCCAGTGACATCCCAGTGCTCCTAGAGGTCTGCACACCACAGGTTGAGAGTCCCTGGTTTAGTGTGTAAGTGCTATTTATGGGATGTGATGGCTCAGTGGCTAAGACGCTGAGCTTTGTTGATCAGAAAGGTTGGCAGTTCGGCGGTTTGAATCCCTAGCACCGCATAATGGAGTGAGCTCCCGTCACTTGTCCCAGCTTCTGCCAACCTAGCAGTTGGAAAGCATGTTAAAAAATGCAAGTAGAAAAATAGGGACCGCTTGGGTGTTTAGTCATGCCGGCCACATGACCACGGAGACCAGTGGTGCGATTCCATTCTTTTTACTACCAGTTCTATGGGCGTGGCTTGGTGGGCGTGGCAGGGGAAGGTTACTGCAAAATCCCCCTTCCCTCCCCACCTGACTAACCTGCTTTCCAGCTCCATTCTCCTGTGCAGGGCAACCAAAGAAGACCCAGACAATCAGCTGGGACTCAATGGGAGGCAGAGAAGAGATGAGGTAGGTGGGTCGAGTCAAAGGTGGTGTTTGCTGGTTCTCCGAACTACTCAAAATTTCCGCTACCGGTTCTCCAGAACTGGTCAGAACCCGCTGAAGACCACCTCTGACAGAGATGTCTTCAGACAGTGCTGGCTCTGTAACGAGATGAGCACCACCCCCTAGAGCCAGAAATGATTAGCACATATGTGCGAGGGGAACCTTTACTATTTAACACTATTGCTTTAGCAAACTCAAACTGTGAAGATTTGGTCTCTTTGGCAGCCTGGCATCACTGGCTGTCAAACCTGCTTATTGTATCTGCAAAAGGCAGAGTTTGCAGGAGTTTGCTGGGATGTTGAGCAGCTCCCTTTTAGCAGAGGGTGAATGATGGCTCTAGCTGGTTAACCCTCATCTGTGAAACGAAGATAGGAGAGATGGTGGCTTCCAGGAGCGGATTGAAAGGCTGGAAAGCTGACTCTGAATATTCATATTGCTCCGGGCATATTTACATGCTCCGGGAAATTAGCAATTTGGGAAGTGAGGTGTTGACGGAGAAGAAAAACCCTGTTGTCATTTTTCTTCTGGAAGAATGCAAACGCATGGGGGACGCAATAAAAGGGGCTTGGAGCTTGCACGCATATGCGTAATACATTTCTAGGTGAGAGTTGTCTTCCTAGAATTAAGGAGAAACTTCCTAACAGAATAATTAATCAGTGGAACAGAAGTTGCCTTCAGAAGTTGCAGGTGCTCCACCACTGGAGGTCTTTAAGAAGAGACTGGACTGCCACTTGTCTGAAATGGTATTGTGATGACCCGGAGTGTAACACAAATGTAATAAAATCCAAAACATAAATAAATGTTCTTTAATGCCTCCAACTTGACCCCACTGTTCAATAATTCTCAGTTGGGAGATTAAACTTATTCAAAAATAGTCTTCAAAAGAAAGCAATACAGTCCAAATTTAATGAGCAGATAGAGGTGAAATAAAAAACCAAACTACAGTGACAAAATTTCCATAATGAACAGGAGAAGTATTTATCAAATTCAAGGAGATAACAAGGCACAGTCTGTTGGAAGGATGCCAACCAAGATAACTTCAGCCCAAAATAAAACATGCTTTGCTTCTGGCAATGTTGTGTTTTAATCATCTCTCTTATATACTATTCTCCCCAGCTGCAACCAATGAGGGGGATCATGGCCGCTTCCACTCTTGTAAGCCAAGTTGTTTCCTTCTCTGTTCCTCCCGTCTTCCTCTGACTGCCCAGCCAGCCTCTGCCCTTTCCCAGCCTCCTGCACAACCTCTGGAGCCACACCTCCACTCCCTGTCAGCTGTTCCTCCTCTCCCTCAGAGTCCGACTCTAACAAGAGCATGACAGGTATAGTCTCCTGCTTCAACAGGGGTTGGACTAGAAGACCTCCAAGGTCCCTTCCAACTCTATTCTGTGACCACTTAATAGACTTCAGACTGGTAGTTAGCTGAAAAAAGGTTGCCGACGGTCCAGGACAAAATGAGTTTTGCTTGACTCTTGGAAAAAATGTTCATTATTTCCAGTAGTGGGTTGGTGGCTGGCTGGGGATGCAGCCAAACTCCATTGTCTCCCCCAAATGGCACTGTCCCTTTGCATATCATAATGGGCAGGGCCCACGTCATGCCTAGTTGGAAACTTGATTTTCCCTGACAGCACCAAGACTAAGGAGTGTCCACAATGAAACCATGGCTGCTGAAAACCTTCCCTTTTCCTCTCTTGGATGCCTGGGGATGATTATAAATGTTGACCCCCTCAAACCAACACGGAGCATGGTCAACCCTGGTACAATATCAGAGCTCTTTGCATTGGAATTACTAAATCATAAAGTAATCCCTTCCAGATTTGCATAGCGTGTTTCATGAATCCAATTCATGCGGTTAGCCGGTATTGAATCTGTCAGTTGAACTGAGAAAAAAATGAGTCAAATAAACCATGGTTCAGTTAAGCTTCCTTTTCCAGGAGCTGTAGGAGAGGAGCAGGCTGAGCTGGTGAGCAGAGTTAAACATATCATTAGTTTAGAATCTTGCATTGCCCCAAGAGATTTAAGTCTAGCCCTTCTTGACTTCCGTTGACTGTCATATAGTGCCAATTTAATGCTGACCATTAGTTGACCAGATTCTTGTGCATAGATTTGAATAAATCACCTATGCTGCAACTTTACGAACCATCCTGATTCTTTGTGCTTGCATAGCCGTAGAAATAATCATAACAAATTATTAACAACTGATTCCAGAGGTTCTCTTTCTCCACCAATCAACTTGGAATCTAATTACCATGTTCCATGACTCTGCCATTGTCCATATCAATAAGGGCTCAGATAAGAACCGACTGAGGGCAGATTCAGGACCTTGGAGAGAGACCACTCCGTTTCTGCAGGCATTCAGGTCCAATGGAAGCAACTTCCTTCCTGAGAAGCTGTCATAATTTGATCAGAAAGGGTTCTAATTATTTTTTCTGCAGTCCTAATTACTCTCTGAAGTCCGTGTCTGTCTTGTTGGGTTGCAGAACCAAACCAGACAGTTATAGAGGTGCAGATGACAGACTCAATAATTCCTCTGTAGAACTGGCTCAGCAGCTCCTTGGGCAGTTTGAGCTTTCTGAGTTGGCGCAGAAAGAACATTCTTTCTTGTGCTTTTTTGATGACGTTTTTGATGTGAGGTGCCCATTTTAGGTCATGCGATATAGTAGAACCTAGAAATGTGAAGGTCTCTACTGTTGATACTGTGTTGTCTACTATTGTAAGAGGTGGTAGTATGGGAGGGTTTCTTCTAAAGTCTACCACCATTTCTACAGTTTTGAGTGTGTTCAGTTCAAGACCGTTCCAGTTACACCATGAGGCAAATTATACAACCTCCTGTCTGTATGCGGATTTGCCGTTGTTTCAAATGAGACCAGTCACTGTTGTATCATCTGCAAACTTCATTATTTTAACAGATCGATCATTTCAGATGCAGTCATTTGTATACAGGGAGAAGAGAAGTGGAGCAACCACACAGCGGGGTGGGTTGCTGTGGGTTGAGGGGGCCCTGTGCTAATTGTACAGGTATCAGATGCGATTCTGCCTAGCTTCACCTGCTGCTTCCTGTCTGTTAAGAAGCTTGCTTACAAGTGGGTCCAGGTACCGATAGCTGGATTAGTTTAGTTAGAAGAATGTCTGGAATGATGGTATTGAATGCTGAACCAAAGTCTACAAAGTTTATGACTTAGTGGGATGGGCTGTGAAGGCCCAGGTGAAGGAACCTGTCTGGCCACAGAGGTTAGAATAGAATAGAATTCTTTTATTGGCCAAGTGTGATTGGACACACAAGGAATTTGTCTTGGTGCAAATGCTCTCAGTGTCCATAAAAGAAAAGATACATTCATCAAGAGTCAAGAATCATCAGATACAAAACTTAGTGATAGTCATAGGGTACAATAAGCAATCAAACCATACTAGGAAACAGTCAATAAAAATCATAAGGATACAAGTGGCAAAGTTACAGTCATGCAGTCACAAGTGGGAAGGGGTGGGTGATAAGGAGTGATGATAAGATTAATAGTAATAGTAGTGCATACTTTGTAATAGTTGAACAGTGTTGAGGGAATTATTTGTTTAGCAGAGTTCAGGGAAAAACTCCCCTTGTGTCTAGTTGTTCTGGTGTGCAGTGCTCTATAGTCTATAGTGTCATTTTGAGGGTAGGAGTTGAAACAGTTTATGTCCAGGATGTGAGGGGTCTGTAGATATTTTCACAGGTTGATATCATCAGTTTCTGGATAGTCTTGGTCTTGTGCAATGAGAAAAGCAGCTACTACAATGGGGACCAAAGGATGAAGACATTACAATCTCTGGCATCACACAGCATACTCGATCTTAAGCCTACTTTGGCAGCATAATTTATGGGATCGGATATAATCTATGATGACCTGAGGAAAGAAACCATGTAACGGCTGAACGTGGTTTATCTAACTGGCTAAATCTTCTATATATCATATTTATCTAGACATCCACCTCAAATACATGACTCTGGGCAGCTATTCAAATGATATAAACAACTGGAGACACTGTTTTCTTTACAACAGATGGTATTACAAAAGATGCAATGACTTGCTCGATTTTAAATTATGCTTATTAATTATGGTTTGCCACTTTATTACACAGCTGACAAGGGTACATTGAGATATAACCCATGGTCTGGAATGGTCTCATTGTTCTAATTACTGTATATTATTATTGTTGTTGTTTGTTGTCAGCCAGAAGTTTAGACTAGAGCTGGCATTTTTGTCCACTTATCGGTTTTTCCCAAGGATTTGGGCTAGACAGATGTTGTTGCTTGAGGGTGTTAAATGCATCATTGTAAAGATGTAAACTGTTCCAAGAAAAACTGCCTTTTGCAAGTTGATTGATGGGGATTTTGTCATTTCCGATGGTGCTCAAGGGCTGCTCCAGATGTTTCAGGATCACTCCCAAGGCACCCATTACGCTTGAGAGTATCTTTGCTTTCTTTTGCCACAGTCATTCTACTTTTATTTGCAGGCGTTTCCATTTTGTCTTTTTTTCTCCAGTTCTTTCTCTTCTAGGTTGTATTAGTATCATCCCAACTCAATTTAGCCCAGGATAGGATAGGATGGAGTAACAGAGCTGGAAGGGACCTTGGAGGTCTTCTAGTCCAACTCCCTGCTCAGGCAGGAAATCCTATACTATTTCAGACAAATGGTTGTCCAATCTCTTCTTAAAACCTTACAAAGTCAAAGTCTCTTTTTTCAGTGCCATTGTAATTTTTGTCCTTTGGGATGGTAGGTGGGGGGAGAATCAAAGCCAAATGCTCTTTGATCACCTGGAACAGGAGGACAAAAATGCAAGAGGTGTGTATTTATTTATTAAAATTATTCTATTCTATTCTATTCTATTCTATTCTATTCTATTCTATTCTA